TCGGAAGAGAACGAAAAGAACACATCGTCGAACGAAAGTTCGGAATCCGAAGAAAACAAAGAGTCTCTCGCGAACAGGGGGTATAGATCTTTACTCGAATCACAAGTTAAATCGAAACATAAAAGTTCCACGATCTATCTGAACGCAGAGGAGAAAAAAGTATCGGATGGAGAACAGCAGTCGATCGTGGACGGACAGATAAAGAAATTAATATCTATTCGCGACGACGCGTTGGATGCTCAGAAGACGGACAAGATAGACGAGGCTAAATTCTTGAATCTCAAACGGGAAATCGGAATGGACGAAGTTGCCTTTACCCAGGGGAAGGTTCAGAGCGAGCACAGGAACAAGGTAAAAGACATTAAACTAATTGGTGCTAAGCAATTGATAAGTGGGGATAATTTCCTTAAAAGATGGAAAGATCGAGCAATTTTCTTGCAAGATCAAATTAGAGATAGAAAGTTTATATTAAGATTGAAAGAGCAAACAGACGAAATTCTCCCGGAAATTCCGAAATTCACGGAAAGTCAGTTGCTAAACACATTAGAACAGATCGTTTTGTCCAAAAGATTGGAGCCGTTGAACGATTCCTACGTGAGTAACATAAAAGAGCTCGGTTTAACTGAGAATCAGCTGCGAATAATTAAATGTGCCGAACAATTGGTAGCTACTAGGGATCGGCAGTCATTTGTCACTAACATCGTGGAATGTATTCGAGGGCTGAGTATCTTGAATTGTATGCGGATCTTCATTTGGCCGATCGTGGTGGACAATATTCCAGAACCTATCAACCTGAATTTGGACAAGTATCCAATCGAGATAAACGTATTTGACTTGTTTCAGGGTAACAGGCAAAAGTTAGGCAGAGCTCAAGATCTCCATCGAATCAGACTTCTTACTCCAGATTCCGTGGTATACAACATCCTACAAGATGCTCTGGAATCGTACCCCAATGACGAAACGCTGGTCTCTTATATCGATCCGAAAAATGATACTCTTAAGAAATTCTTGACTTCTGACCAGTTGAATATCCTTCAGATGGCTGAGAAATTTTTGCCACAAGCTTTACGTCAAGAGTACTCCGATAAAATGTTCTCCTGCGTTAGGAGATTCGAGTATTTCAGTTGCGTCAAGTACTTCGCTTGGCCACTGATCAAACAATACTTCCCAGCTTTACCTGCTTTTCCAGATTATCAAAGCTGGTATCCCATTATCGATCTCTTTCCACAGTATCCCATATTTCCTTTCCCCAGCTTTTCCGAAGAAATTGGCGAGCTGCCAGAGGTTGTGGACGCCGATGCTACTAGAACCAGGAAGCCTAGACCTGAGGCGTTAATCATCCAGGTTCTGCAAAACACTTTGAAGGAACAGCCGCGAATATCGAGTTCGCCCTCGTTTCTGGATCAATCAACCGATACCTATGCCACCCTGATACCCGAGGATCAATTATTAACCATAAATATGGCTGAGCAATTGATACCCATCTCCTATCGACCGGAATTCATTCAAAAGACCGTCAAGTGCATGAAGGAGTATAACTATCTCGCTTGTTTCAAGTATTCGGCCTGGCCTACGGTTAGGCATTTCATTCCTACTCTTCCAGACATTTTTAGTCTCATGCCAGAGTTTCAAGGTCCGGGATTGTCGGATATTGGTAGCTACGTTCCAGAACTCTCGGCATATTCGGATCTGAATTTCTACTGGCCAATTGGCGGAGCTTCCATTCAGAAGGAAGAAACTGCACCAGCGTACTTCTCCTTAAAGAACCCAGGAAATTTATTGCAAACCTCTGACGAATTGGAGATTCAAATCCTAGAGATCTTAATAAAGGTACGAAATTCCATTGACAAGTTCAACGACATATCGTCGTTTATTCTGACAGGCAATGGTCTAACATTCAGCGAAAGGCAAATAGATATTTTACGATTGGCGGAATGTTTCGTCCCGCCTTCTTCTCGGCCACTTTTCATCGCAGAAATCCTGTCTTATCTTCGGAAGAACGATAACTTCATTGACTGTGCCAGGTACGTAATATGGCCAACTATTGCTACGTACGTGCCGAGTTTACCCGAATTTCCGCAACAAGAACTCGCGAAGGAACGGATAGACTTGACAAATATACAAGGATCGACGGAGACAAAGGAAAGTGGCATAAACTCTAGAGATATGGTACAAGAACGAGTGGTTCCAGATATCGAGAAGGAAAAGAAAGCGAGCACTTCCTTCCGAGATAAGGAATCCCGAAACAGGGTACCTAACATGCCAGTAATCAGTGTATCAGGCACTCGATTCGTCCCGATATTCACCGAGCATCCGGAATCCGTGATTCTTAATATTCTTCGATCAGTCCAGTTACAATCTCTGAAACCTAGCTCGGGAACTACCTACTCGACGACTAAAAATCAACAATTTCTCGATTTGCTCACCACGCAACAGCAGTATATAGTAAACATCGTGGACAGCTTGCTTCCTCAGACTGTTCGAAACCAATTTACCGATAAACTGATCGAATGTCTTCGCACGAACAATTTTTTAATATGCAGTAGAGATATTATCTGGCCGCAACTGACGGAATATTTCCCTTGGTTGCCCAGTTTTCCGAATTTCGGTATCATAACCGGCACGAACAGCAGTAATCCATTATCGCCGACTTCCAATCAGAATTTGACAGAGCCTAGTACTAGTTCGGACGTTCCAGCTCTTTCAGAAACCGACGTGAAGACGAGGCAACACGGGGACACTACGGTAACTATAACCGACACGAGATTTTTCCCAATTTACAACGAGCTACCCGAGACAATCATATTGAATATCTTGAGAGCAGTTCAACTCTCCATCCCGAACTTACCTGGTTCTCCAGTTCTAGCAAGGACGCAAGAGTTTTCGCCGTATTTAACGGAACATCAAATTAATATCATACAGATCGCAGAGAATTTACTGCCGATTCCGTCACGATCCGAATTCATCGGCAAGATCGGTTCCTGCATCAAAGACAGAAACTTCTTGGACTGCACCAGGGACATAACGTGGCCGACAATTGCTCGGTCTTATCCATGGCTACCCAGTTTCCCAAATTTTGGCACCCTTCGGAACTTGCCTCAGGTGTCAGGCTCCAGCTCCATCAGATTCCAAGTTTTCCTCTCCGAAGAACCTTCTGCGCCCAATCTGGAAGCTCAGGCATCTAAAGCTAATTTGAATAAGCAGGCAGAAGCTATGAAGCTGGCGGAAGAGAAAATAGAAACTATCTTACTGGGCATCGTGAGCAAAACTCCGGAGGTGGAACAATCGTATCTGAACATCTCCAATCCTGTTGTCTCTATTCTAAGCAAGAGACAAATAAATATCGTGAAACTGGTGGAAAGAGGAATACCAAGCACGGATAGATCATCGTACATGACAAGAATGCTGGATTGCGTGACGCGTTACAATTTCATAGCCTGCACCAATAGCATCAGTTGGCCCATTTTGAAGCGGTATACTTCCTTATTGCCCGATTTTTCAATCATCAGTAACTTGTTTTCTCAACTGCCCAGCGTTCTCCAGATTCCCGACGTCGGACAAATCCCTGCTATTTCAGATCTTGGTTCCATTACGAATAATATTCCAGGTATTTCCCAAATATCAGGAATTTCGCAAATATCGGCTGATATTTCTCTGCCAGCTGAACTCGCCAAACCGTCGTTGCAACTAGGTGGGCTTGTAGGATCGAAATCCAAGAGTGTACAAAATGTTCCACAACCAGGAGTGCAAGAGAACAAGTTAAAAGAAAATTCAACAATTACACCGTCAGTAGGTGAATCTATCGTTAATTGATATCTAGAAAAACTGTCGGAATTATTCCTAATACCGGTTCTCTTTGCAGGTAACGAAAGAAACGTCTCAGGATACGCAGGGCAACCGACAAGTATCCCCATAAATACCTCGTACGAAAAAGTCTATTTACCTGGTACTGTTCGGCAACAGGCGAAAACGAAAGATGCGACATCTTCATCGGACATTAAGATTAGAAAACGTAGAAGCACTATAGACGTTCTCGATTCTTATTACAATAGAGAAGATAGGGAAGATAGATTTACAACCTCGACACCCTCACCCCTAACGTTTCCAAACATCACTGAATCCGAGTATCTTCAGCTGTTGATCAGAATTAAAGAAAACGTGAGATTGTCCAGCACCAGTCCTTCGAAATCGAAAGAGTATCTCGTCGATACGTTGAATTCTACAATGAAAAATTCTTTAACAGCTGACCAGTACGAAATTCTGAAGGTTATCGATGACTTGGACAACCGGCAATCATCGGGCAAGGGACTTGCATCGCAAGTCATACAATGCATCGTGAGTCTTAGTTTCATCAGATGCTTGGGCATCTTCATTTGGCCCCTTATTACCAGCAATCTACCCTCTCTGATTGGCTTACCGTCTATTCCAAGTTTCGGCATCCTAGGACGTTCGTTGGATACGGAGAGTGAAGTGAAGGAAATTTTCGGAATGTCCACGAGTGACTTCGAGACGGAGCTGCTTGAAAGAAAGGAATCGATCGAAAGTATTTTGCTGGACTGGTACAGAAAGCTGGTCGAAGACAAGTTTCAGACGGATGTAGGATTTTTTAAGATAAAAGGGTATGGAAACAATGAATTGGGAATTAGTTTCTCTGGTTACAGAGAAGGTAGGGGGGCAAAGCTCAAGGACAATAAAAATCTTCCCAGTATATTAACGATAATAAGCGACATAATGGAAGAAGTCTTAGATCAACGGCCGGAAAGTGAAAAGCTGAAAAAGGAAAAGGAAAAGAAAGAAAGGAGTATAGATGATTCGAGGGAAAGCGACATCCAGTTTTTGAAAGACAGCGAGGAATACGTCGACATCAAGAGATCGATGAACGACGACGAGATTATTACGATGTTCCTCGATAAGATCAAGTCGAACGACTCCGAGGTAGACAAAGAAGATACGAAGTATTTCAGTTCCGAGGACGCGTATAACGCTTTCGGAGTCCTGTTTGGCACGAAATTGCACGATAAACTTGCCAACGAAGCAGAATCTTTCGATGCGCCGTTCGAATCCTTCGAAAAGGAAAGAAACAGTCCAATCGAGCCGATCAAAGAAGTAGACATTGTATCTTTAGAGTCGCAGAAAGATTCTGACGAGTTGAAGGTTCTACCGATGAAGGGTCAAGTGGTCTACGATTTCGAGAAAGAGTCTTCGGAAGATCAAGAGGAGAGGCAAAGGCAGAAACGAGCAAAGAACGTTTTTAAATCTTTTTTAGAGAAGTACTCCGACAGACGGTTAAAGGACGGCAACGTAGACAGTTTCGAAGACACCGAAGACAATAAGATCGTGGAGGATCAGTATAAAAAAGACACGAGGTCGGGCTTGATCGTTCAGTTGCCACGTCTACGCGACGAAGTGGTGTCGAAAAAGATGACCAACTCGATGGTGTACGCAGGCAAAGCTTTCAAAACGAAGATGACGCAGATGATGCCAGGATTCGGGCTGGTCTTGTCATTCTTGCTTCAAATCGCTTTGGCTCATGCACGCGCAGCTGCATCGATGGCTGGAGTGATTAGTAACATGGCCCTGGGGTCAGCCATGTTCGGAATGATACGAGATTCTTTCTTTGGATCGAACAGTCATCCGAAAATTAAGTACGTTTACGATAACGATAAAACCGGGCCAGGAATTTCCTGGCCTACTCGGTACGAATCCGATTCTCATTATTACGGATAGTAAAGCGATGAAATTTTGCGTGAACTTTTCTAGATTAAATATTTTATACGTGTAGCGATTCTGATAGCCGTAGTAATAAGAGTAATGCGAAATCAAAGGCGGATCCTGGATCTTTGGAAACGCGGGAGCGTAGAATTTGGGGTGGGTAGACTGACCTGCGAACCAGTTTCAAGTAGCAAATGGTTCTAAGGTTACTAATTACGATTACGCTATGATAGAATTATAGTTAACGCACGGAACATGATTTGTTACGAGTTAATTAATGTAACTTGATTGTTCCAAGGTTCGTCGTTCTTTTCCCTTAAAGGCTGAATAACAATGAACGTTATATTGGGCTAGCTTTAATTTTCTTCCGTATGCGACCGACGACAATGATCGTCGGTGCTCTTTCTCAGTCTTCCTAAAAATAAATACATATTAACATAGACATTGTAATAGCACGGACTGCAGAGACTCGATCTTAGTTAGGAACAAATATAGCACAGAATCAATTCGTTTCGACGAGTTTATTAATGCAAATAAAATTCGCGTCAGCTCTCGTTCGTTCGTGGAGGGTTTCATGGTGAAGGGTAACAATTTCTTCGTTGCGCTGTTCTCTTATCGATCGCCGTATAATCACTGTTCTCGGTAATTAAAGACAGCAAGTAGATGGTGTATCGTAAAAGCCTTAGTTCGTAAGATTGTCAGTGATTCTCTCTAGTTTCTCGCAATTTCTACGTTTACGAAGAATAAATAAACAATTACGCTTGAGAATCCACACACCCTGGTTTCCTTCGCACGAGCACTTTGGACTTTTCTGCCACTTTTTATCGAACGTTCTCGCCAGCGCTAATTTTTCAAGATAAGCATCGCGGGATGCGCGCGAGTAACGTAATTGCTCTTGTCTAGAATGCGTCGTTTCTTACGACTTAAAAGGTAAAACGAGCAACGAGAAACGTAAGAGTGTTATTGGGTAGCACAGCTTATCGCAATCGGGATGCCGCCGCCTGGAATTTCAAGGACCCAGAGGATCATGCGTTTGGGGACCTAAAGGTTCGCGGTTGAATCTCGGACTGATTTTACTCTCAGGTGAAGATCTCGCTGATTTGCTACCTTGTTCCACCGTATATTAAAAACTACCTACAACCGGACGTTGCATTTGGACGGTAGAGAAGCGAGATCACGCGATCGAGCATCGAACCGTTTAAAATCGGCCTACGTTACAGTAAATGGAACCAGTCTGATGTAATGGTTTTATTTTATACAGACGCTGCTTCTTCTACAGAGATTGGCGTTTGCGATAAGCAATTAGTTAAATACGTGTAATGCATATTTTGTTTTTCTCTGAAAAGCACAGCTACGAGTAAAGCGTGGAAAGTGAAACGACGTATTTATTAAACGTGTGTTTTTAATTAAATCTTAGCTGCGATAACAAAGTTCAACGTTTCTCGTGGAACGCGGATTTGTTAAAGCATGAAGATATCACCGATGTAGAATCATTTTCCCATCGATAGACGCGTCGTGAAAGAATTTAAGACGTTTTGACGACTAACGGGTCACGCTAGTAGAAGCGGTAACACCGAAGGCACTTCTCTCTCCTCTGACTGGATGCGATGTTCCTCTGACGTTTCTATGGAAAACGGTAACTCGTTCAAGTAGAACCTGAGAAAATGCGGTATAAAGTAATGAAATGAAAACATGGAAGTAGCAGTGGTTCGTAATATAATATCGCACACGCGCAGTACCACTCGTTTGCTTGTTCACAGTCAATGTGCTCTTCGTCGCTGCAGACGCGTTCCCTTTGGTCAAAGAGCGTATTGTTTGGACAGATCACGGGAAATCCTTTCCCCGAATCATCGCAAGCGTGAAAAATTCGACAATCGTAATCCAAGTCTGCGTACAAGCCAACTGGTTTATCCTCGCAGGAGAAGCGAAAAGTCAGATTGTTAAAAAGACCCAAGTCGCCCGGCTCTTCGGACAAGTCCTCGTAGGTCTCTAAGCGATGTCGATCCTGCCGAGAAAATACGTTTCAATTTATCCTTAAATATGGTTTTCAAGTTAAACACGGGATCTTACAACGTAACCCAGGGTTGGCAATGCGACGATTACGATGAACAATCCTGAAAAACAACGTTTAAAGTTAAATCGCTGAATGATCTAGGAATAAGTTTTACTTACGAATGCATAGCAGAAGCTTCAACGGGAATGTCACGGAGGAAGCCATGTTTTCTAAAATTCCGAAATTTTGTGCTTTTTGCCAGGACTCGCGATTTCCGAGAACCGACCCGATACTCGGCTGATGCAGTAGCTGTCCTCACTGACACTCTCGGTTCTTGAACCATGCTACTCAGAGAACTTATCGACCCTAATGAGCGCGTAATTTCTCGAAAAGCGTGACGCTATTTCTCGTTATGGTCTAAACGATCGCTAACCGGGATATCCGGTTATTATTTAACGAATCTTTAGTAACGTTTGCTTTTAATTAAATTAAAGGACGATATGCTCCCTTGGCGTCGATCTATGTACTTACGTTTAAAGGATGAGAAATTAAAACTTCGTCGAATATATATTCACGAAAATAGCATTCGACTTGGTAATATTTGACAAGTGTCACACGGGTCGTGTTCTCTAACGCAACCTTGTTACCATTCTCGTGTCGCTTCCAACATCATCGATTCCATACGGGATAAAATTACGAGACTATGAATCGCAAGATTAATTAAAATTTGAAACGAAAGGTAAATTAAAAACCTATTGAAAACGGGTGAAATTTAGCACGTAGCCCTCAGCTTAGCAGTACTTCTTACCGATTTCTCTCTGAGATATTGTAATAATATCTAAAGCCCACCTGGAAGAGGTGACTACGCAAAGATTTGGTTTACACTCTAAACTATTAACACCAAATTATATTATTTGTGAACAGGTACATAAAAAAATTGCAACTTACCGTGTACAGAGTGCACTGGATGATAGTGAAACTTGGGTGAATTTATTTCTCTCCTTAAATTTACGTGTTAATTAAAGAAATTTTAATTTCTTTTTCTCCCACTCATTGGAATTATAATAAATTTATTTACTTAAAATTTATTGAAAATAATTATTTATACCAGTCAAATTAAACGTATTACCGTTATTCGCGAGATTTAGTTTGTATTAAGAATTAAATCAAAAAATTTTTCACATTATTCGTATTGCGAAATTACCGTAATTATCTTCGCGATGCGTTCAATAAGACGTCTGTTCGGCAAATGAGGTCGTGCCGTTCGTTGAGTCTTGTGTATATACAGCGTCGGCTTTATTCGGTAGGTTGCACGATAATACACGATTGCCTTGCAAATTGAAATTTTTCTATCGCAATAACTCGTATTCTATTAATTTTTATTACAAAACGTTATAATTTTTTCAATAAAACTTACAATGTTCGTTTGCAGTTTATAATGCAATTAAAATATTTATCTCGATTTTCTTTGAAATTACGATAATTAGTTGATGATAATCGAGAATAAAGATTTAGAATTTCTAACAATTTGCACGCTCTGTTACTTTTGCTATAAACATTATATAAAAATTAACGTCCACGCAATGTATCGTTCGCGTGTTTATTTAATGGAAAGAATATTGTTTGAACTATCACATCGATTGAAAATCTATGTGCAATATCTTTACTAACCAACAGATGTCACTGGTTTATAAAGAAGTCGGAGACCATGATTTAAGCGACTTTCACCAGCGTCGACCAATCGCAGTTAGCGATCTCGACTTTCCTCTATCTCAAACAGGTTTATATAGATCCTCGAGATGGAAGATTTTGCGAAAATGTTTAAAAATATTATTATCCTGATCGTAGATCATTACACGACTGTGGTGACGTTTCCTTTAAAACAATCGATCCGAATCTGAGCACGAAGAAAGAATATCGTTGTCGATGGAAAGGGTGCCAAGAAACGTGATCGTGGTACGGTCCTGGGAGCCAATGAACCAATCGAGCGCAACCTTTGCGTCCCCATCTCGTAGAAATGTTCAGAGTTTAGAGTCCGAGAACCGCGTGTCCACGAAAGGACAGCGCGTATCAACTGCCAATGAGGGAAGCCTAACTTCTCGAGCCTCCTTTCTCTTTAGCTTCGAGCCACGGCTCAGTTTTCACGGCATCCTCATCCAGGAACCACCCGCAGAATGTCTTGAAGATACGTGGTGAAACGTTCACGTGAATTTCTTCTTCTTTTTCTTTCCATCTCTTTCGG